TATTATCTTCTTCGTGCTTACATGGTCGATAATTGGGTTTGAACTATCGCTGTATCCGCTTCAATCTCCGAAGATTCTCGGAGCGGAGAGACTTGCGGGGAAATTCAAGCTTGTCTGATTCAGTCCACGTGGCCCCCGTACGGCCCTTCTCGTTACCGCATGACGTGTGCTGTCTCGTCAGGGGCGTTCAGCCCCCCCCCCGACACGCGACGCTGACGACGTGCACCGCGTTAACTCGAAATATTACGACGACGGTTAAGCTCATTACGGATGGGTGGTTATCATAAGATACACGAGCCGTCGTCGGCCGCCCGACAAGTAGCGAGCGGTCCATCGACGGCGGATTTCGACAAAAAAAGAAAGGTGGCACACTCGGAAACCCGTTTCTAAAATAATCTCGAATCCTAGGAAGATATTCCCGACACGTCGGGAAACTTAATGAGGCTGGCATAACACACGGCCATTAAGTATCATAATCTCGTGTCGTAGCGCCAAGTGGATCCTTCCTGTAAACGTCGAAATGTGATTCTGTGATAAATGGTTACGAATTCTTGCAAGAACATATATAATGTGTCGTTTAATGCATAATAAATCAAGTAGGATGATGTCTCTTTCGATTATATTGCCGATATTCGGCAGGATGATTTCTTTTATCGTTTAAGGAAAACGGAACCTCTTTTTCTTCGTGAAGGCAACCGTATCTCATCCCCGATACAGTTTCAGACCTGCGCGGCAAATAGAAACATCGGGTCATCGGATATCGGCATAGCCGAATTTTTCGATTGCCCACCCCGCGAGAAGCGAGGAGTCGATCTTCCCGTCGTAAATCTCGCGGCTGGAAATTGCTTCTCCCAACAGCGTTTCGATCCCGCGAAGGAGAACAATTTGTCCTTTTCTGGAAGGAGGATCCGCGCACCCCGTAAGCATTTCCTCGGCTCGAATAATCCAGAAATAAATTTTCACCCGACACCTTCTCTCTCATCCCGGTTTCCTTATTTCACCGACGATCTGTTCTCCCCTCGCACGCGTACATACGTATATTCGCACGCGTCTACGTACGTACGAGAGAAAGAGAAAGAGAAAAGAATCTCAGTTAAATGCCGAGGAGCCGTGGAAGTGCTCCTTAAACGGCCTTCCTGCCAATCTTTCGTCCCGAAATACGGTTATATCGGCTTTGGGGTGCGCGGAATAAACGGTTACATAAAGTTTTCGATTGGCGCGTGGCGTAACCACCCCTGTCCGAGGGATGGCCGCCCTGCCCGGGGATACACATATGTGCACTTGTTCGCCCGTAACGGACGAACTACCCTCGTCCGGACGCTGTATTATATCGCGGGCGATATCAGTGCCATTGTATTTAAAGCGACGACCATTTCACGAATTGGACCGTGCTTCAGTTAATGAACTTCCTACGAGAGGATAATTGACGGAATGCTCACTATAAATTTGCTCTTATGCTTCTCTATCGAAATTACTCGTGTCTTTAGAATTCTAACAATAGCATTATCACACACACACACACACACACACACACACACACACTCTCTCTCTCTCTCTCTCTCTCTCTCTCTCTCTCTCTCTCTCTCTCTCTCTGTCTCTTGTTTATACCTATATAGCATCTAACATCGATATTGAAAGTATAAAAAAATAACTATAAAATTTCAGAAAATATTAATTTCAATTAATATCAAATACAATTTTAAGCTCTCTAATAACGATCTTTTATTCCGCGTAAATTCATCATGAACGTAATTAGCGTTCGATTCTCCCGAAGGTGTCGGTTAAAGCGATGGTAAGAAGAACGAGGGAAAGTTCGATCGCGTCTGGATGCGGTATACGTGTCCGTCGTAAGAGTGGTCCATAGTGCCGGATGCACGTAGCTCGACGGAGGAGAGGAGCCCTACGTGCCTGCCGATGCAACCTCACCCCAAGGGTGAGGGTTAACTCAGCCCCCTGCCACGAGAGAGCTCAATATATATTAAGATCCGCGAACCCCTCGGACTAAAAGTTCGTAACGCTCCCCCTCCTGTGCTCCGTGGAAGTCTTCCTACAGACTCTCGCTAACCTCCCTATCCGACGGATACGCCGTCGGAATTGCGATTATGGTGGCGATATTACTAGCGTAGAGGGGCAGTGCCCCATCCGCGAGGGTGGCAGCAACCTACGTCCGTCTTTAGTTCCTCCTCTTTTTTCCGCTTATCTCGCACGCTCGCGCGCGCGCGCACATTCTGGGCTTATTGACTTTACTTCTGAGCCATCAGCTCGTACCTATTTACTTGCCACGATTTGATCTGCGAGCAAAAAGTCATGGGCGGCAAACGGTTCTTTTCCTTCGGATAACAGTGAAAGCACCACAGGGTGGCTCGCAGGTACCTAACGTTGGTTTGTGTCAACCACATGACTCCCAAAATGTGACCTTTTGTCAGCGTTACTTTCCTCAAGCAAATTATAGACGTCTAACCGTAAAAAAAGAAAGGGCAAATAGCTAGTTATAGTTAATAAGAGCCTCGACGTGGGTACTTATTGTGATCTTAACAATAAGACTTACGACGTACGTAACAGAGACTTCTGAGTATCTCCGGAGTTTTTACCTCGATGTGTGGATGCGTGTGAAAAAAATAACACAAAATGGAATGTCACGCTTTGATACAATTTTGCGATTCCTCATCCGTCGCTACCCCTAAGGAGCAAAAGCTGAGGAAAAACCTGAGTTAGTGGTTTGCACGTGCCGTACCTCTCGCTTCGTGCTTTCGCCGCCAATGCGGAAAATAACGAGAGACAGAGCGTCTACCTGCTTGCGAGACGGCGAGGCGAGGGCGCGCGATCGATACCCGGCCACAAAGACGCTAACCACGGCATAGTTTTCATCGACATCGAACGGTCATCGGTCGATCGCGCGATACGCAAATGCACAATCTATACCGGTTCATACTTGATGCAACCAGGTAACTATACGTTCCAGAAAGAGACTATCGTATGCTACTCTACTAATCCCAATGATATTTTAACATTAAGCTACAGCATTATGTTATAGCTTCTATCTTCACTTTCTGTGCGGAAAGTTTGATCGCACAATTTATTGCGATCTTAACAATAAAGATTTACGGCGCACAAAACAGAGACTTCTGAGTCTCTCTGGAGTTTTTACTTCGACGTGTGGATTACTTACATATGAAAAATTCTTAATGAAAAATTGCAAGATCTGTTACAATTATTTTTATTCTTTTACATCACAAATCGTGACGTAAATCTTAAATAAGTGGCAATCTTCCGTAAAGCCAGAACGAGAAAAATGCCTCGTCCTGTGTCTGCGCACGCGGAAACTGACGGAAACCGATACCGTGGGATTACGATGAGATATAATGCAGTGGCTAATCGCCTTTTTCCTTCCCAATTCCGATGAGTAATTTCACGAGACGGTCACGCCAGTGGGAAATCCGCCTCGCCGAAAAATCGACACGGCGCATTAAAACGAGGACGACTCTCGGCGCCATCCAATTAAATGCCGCGCGGCGTTAACGACGCGTCTCTCCTCCGTCTTTTCCTCGCAACTCGCAGCAGCGAGGATGAAAGCGGCAGGCATAGACACCGGCCATGGAGCGCCCTGCAAAAGGGAGGATGAATTTTACCGTCCTAATGAAATTTCCCGAGACGATAAAGAACCTTGGTGGAGGCGTCGAAATAAATATGCGGCGGTGATAGTGGCGCGTTTTCTCACTTCTCTAATAATCCCGGGATGAAACGTGATAATATTGATTAGCAGGAAAAAAAGGGGAAATAACTGTAGGATAAAAGAGCACAAGAAGCAGATTTGAAGAGCAGATTTGAATTCTTCAGATATTCTTATTCTTGATTTGCGTATAAAGCGATATTCATTAATCTAATTACTTATCCCTGCGAGAGTATTCTATAAAAGAGAGCACGCCGTATGCTTACTTTAAAAGCGGCGCGAATCCAGTTTCGCAAACCTCCGCTAAAAACTATTAATTGCGATCGGAGGCGTGCGAAGGGTACCGGATCGTAATTCGATGCGCGGACGACGGCGAATTGCGGGACTGTGCACCTCCGTGATTCCCGGCTACTGGTACTCTCGGCAGCGTGCGGACCGCTGAAAAAGCTTTTTTTCGCCGGCAGCGCTTTAATGAAATTTTTTCGACCTCGTCATCGTCCCCGTAATAATCTCCCTTTTGCGACCGGGTAGCCGGCGCGGCTGAATTTATTGCAGCCCGCCTGCCGGAAACACGTCCGCGAGGAAATCTTCTGGATAAGAGGCTCACGAGCTCTACCTCGGTCTACCGTTTTTTGTCACTCCTTACCTGCCGAGTCTTTCCTGGTCCGAGTATGAAATACGCGGGAGCGGAGAGGCGCGTAAAAAAAAAGAGTGGCGGAGGAGAGGAGAGCGACTGAGCGGCGAGAGAGGGAGGGAGAGAGGGAGTAAGAGAGAACGAAGGAGAGAGAGAGAGAGAGAGAGAGAGAGAGAGAGAGAGAGAAAGGTTCCGGTGACGGCGAGGACGACGACGATGGATCCTTCTTGCCCTGGTCGGAACTTTTTGCGGTCGCTCTTGGGACGAGCCCGAGAGCCGAGGGGGGCAATAAAACTAATGGTAACGCGCGCCAGTAATTCCTTGCGGTCTGTTTGTCGCAAGTCGACGACCTGGCCTCTCCGCCTCGTCATTTACCGAGGGAGGATTCTACAGGCCAATGTCGGCCGACAACGACAATGACGACGGCGGGTGGTGCTTTCTCGCTTTCGTCGCGGTTGGTGGTAACACGTAGAATTGGGTTAGCATCGCAGATTTTAAGTGCCGGATGCCAAATTTCTGCACGAAATGCGATCGACTTTCACGATACCCTTCCCAGAGGAAGGGTCTCCGTTTTCGACCATTGTCCACGCTGGTTACATTAACTATAACTGTAAGAACTAGAATAGGAAAAAAATAGAATTTGACCATGACCCACATATATGCTAACGTTTTCTTTTTTTTTTTGCTGTCCTACAGTGGGTGGAGGAGTCTTTTACGAACTTCGACAAAGGCATCAACTGGCGGAGTTACGTTGTGTGCGACGTGGCGTATAACAATGTGAACAATTGGCTGTGGACGCCGTTCATAGAGAGGGGTCCGGCGAATCGCATGTACATAGAAATTAATTTCACGACTCGCGACTGTTCGCTGTTCCCCGGGAACGCTCTCAGCTGTAAGGAGACTTTCAGTCTACTCTACTATGAGTTCGACGCCGCCACCAAGGAGCCACCCCCGTGGGAGCCGGACAGTTACAAACTTATTGGTGAGCGATGACGAAACAAAGCATGACAATTAAATCTCGGAAATAGGATAATGATATTATTTTGAGAATAATAACTCTAACTCAGCTTGCTTACCTTAATAGGGATATTAAGAGTATAACTTTTTGAGAAATTTTTTGAAAGATAGAAATTTAGAATTTGCAATTTGGCGAAGGTCGGCCGACCGAGAATTTTAGAATTTTGCATAATTATTAAATTCTATATTTTTTAACAGCTATCTTTAACTGAATTCGTCGACCTCAGTATCTAGAACGGTTTTTCATGCCAATTTTACGTACTTGCAGGTCGCATAGCCCCGGGCGAAGGTAGGTTCAACATGAACACCGAGGTAGTGATCAACACCGAGGTAAAGTCGATTCCGGTGACGAAGAAGGGCGTTTACTTCGCCTTTCGTGATCAGGGCGCCTGCATATCGATTTTGGCCATCAAGGTGTACTACATCAGTTGTCCCGAGATCTCGGTGAACTTCGCCCATTTTCCGGCCACGCCGACCGGTCGCGAGGTTGCGCTCATCGAGCAAACTCGCGGCATTTGCGTCGCGAACGCCGTCAAAATCGCCCAGCCGACTTTCCTCTGCAAGGGAGACGGCAAATGGTACCTCCCGACGGGCGGATGCCACTGCAAGCCCGGCTACCAGGCTGACACGGACAAGCAGGAGTGCAAGGAGTGTCCGATAGGCAAGTTCAAGCACGAGGCGGGCTCACATGCCTGCGAGCTATGCCCGGAGCACAGCAAAGCCTCCGATTACGGCTTCACGGAGTGTCGTTGCGATCCGGGCTATTATCGGGCGGAAAAGGATCCTAAGAAAATGCCTTGCACGCGTGAGTATTAATCGAACTAAACTACCAATTTTTATAGAACGGTCGTCTTTTATCGTTTATTTTATAATTAGAAAAATAATTGTCCAAATAATCCCGAGATTTATGAGTTTCAAAGAATATCTTTGAAAAATTAAGATTTCTTGAGCGTCTTCATTAAAATATTAAATTTATAATTGTATTATATTAATTGTTTGATATAACGTTTGTGAATTGCAATACATTAAATTAAAAATTTTTGCGTAAGCGGAAGATGAAAAGAATTTGGAGGACGGGCGCGTTCCGCGAAAATCTTCAAGAATATACTTCTTGCAGAACCACCTTCGGCGCCGCAAAACCTGACCGTCAACTTTGTCGATCAGTCCACGGTGATCCTTTCCTGGAACGCGCCGCATATGCTGGGTGGCAGGACCGACACGACTTACAGAGTGGACTGCGATTCCTGCAGCATGGGCGTCAAATACATTCCCAATACCGTGAGTTTTCCTAAAAAGCCGTATATTATACGCGAGTATATACAAAAATTTGCGCGGTAGTCGAATATTAATTCTTCGAAAAGATCAAAAAAATTTAACGGGCGGGTCCGCTTCGATTTTGCAACAGGAGATCTTCAACGACACGAAGATCACGATAACCGGCCTGAACGCGGTGACCACCTATCGCTTCCAAGTGTTCGCCGAGAACGGCGTATCGTCGTTGGTCGGCAAATCGGAATATGTGGACATTACCGTTACGACGGAGGCGAGCGTGCCGAGTCTAGTGAGCAACGTCAGGATCACGAGTGTCAAGAGCTCGGAGCTCAGCATCAGTTGGGACGCGCCGGACATCGGAGCTGGCGGAGACAACGATCTTGTCGAGCGATACGAAGGTAAGCTAAAGAGCCACATATTGCTACATTGCATTGCTACGCCATTGTACGGCAAGATCAATTTCAAATTGTCACTCGATCGCGCCCAGTGGCGGCGGTGGGGATTAATAATCGTCTCGATATCTGGTACAGTGAGGTGTTACCCGCGCTACGACGACGCCACTAATGCAACCGTCATTCAAACGTCCGAGCTGTCCGCCACGTTCAAAGGTCTCAAGCCTTCCACGGATTACGCGATACAGGTTCGCGCTAAGACCACCCGCGGCTGGGGCGAGTACACGCCGGTGATATTTAAAAAGACACCCCACGCGATGGGTTTAGGTAAGCGCGCGTTTAGATCAGCGGCATTTAGATTCACTATTTCGCAATCTTCTTTTGTACCGCGCCTCTAACACGAGCGTTTCACGCAGACTACGTCGGCGAGGATGACAACATGCAAGTTAGGATAATTGCAGGGGCGATCGTTGCTGTGGTCGTACTTCTCGTGATTATTATCATCATGACCGTACTGATCCTTAGAAGGTAATTTAATCATTTTCTATATTTGAAATATTACGTATCTCCAAATAATGCAAGCTATTAACGCGCGAAAAGCGGGTTGCTTCTTTCCAATCCGCCTCGCTCAATTCGGCTGATATCATGCGATTTCGTTGCAGCAGGGCCTCGGACGAGTGCAACAAGAAGCAGCCGAGCGACTGCGACACCCTGGAGTACAGAAACGGCGAAGGTACGTTTGCACTTTGCTCGAAATTTCTCTCTTTAAAGATTTATTATCGCTATTATCCGCCCCCCCGCCCTGTCACTTTCATAGTTGTTTCACTATGCCCTCGTGTCTTGTGACTAATTTTGGAATCACTGGCCGCCGCCCCCCCCCCGCCCCCCTTAGATCCAGCAAGTGTCGAAATACTATACCCCGTACTATACAAAACAGACCCACGATAATACGTTAAACACCCCCTCCCCCTCAATACCGTAGAGATTTTTTTGCGGATGAGAGTGAGAGAAAGAGAGTTAGCTGAAACAGTTAACACCATAGAGAAAATGAGCGAAGAGAAAGCAGTCGGGCTCTGAAATACGTCCGCGACAGGGACTTAAGAGAGAAACGATCGCTTTTTCCAACCAAAATTCACACCGATCTGGCCCATTGCCTGAGTGCGATTATTCTAACCAAATTCTTTCGATTCTTTCTTTTCATGTGCGATTCCCCTAATCTATCGAACCTGCCTCCATGAAAAAATCCATGAAAAAAATCCAATGAAACAATGTACACAATCGCCTGCTACTACAGGACTAGTTGTGACCTACAGTAAGTCTTCTCCAAAACACCTCAAGTTTTGTTTTTTAGGAAACTCAATTTTGTGTAGATTATTTTTGCAACCCCTGTACATGCATTACACTCTCAGTCTAACTCAGATACTTTACGCTTTTGCATATACACACATACACACGCATCAACAAACTCACGCACACAGGTGTGCGCGCGTGCGCACGTAACAAATTTGCACGACACCTAATTTTCTGTAGATTCACATTATGTGTGCTCGTGCGCATTGTGCTTGCGTATGTTTGTTGTATTGCGTTGTTCGCGGTTTTCACTTGCATGCGTACCTTTCAGTGTGTCGATGTTAATATCGTATGTGCTTTTTACATTTGAATTTGATACGTGAAGCAGATCGGAAAGAACATAAAAGATAAACAGAAAATACAGATACGCGCTTAAAGGAGTGCAAATCTTTTTAATCAGCGCGTTGATTTTCACTTGAATTCGATTACATATTTTCACAACGGCCTCATCCGTGATCAAGATATTTCAGTATCATTTTTTTTCTCGCATTACGTCACTAAAAAAAAAAAAGAATTTATCGTACCACCCGCCGCTTTCTTTTTGTTTTGCTGTTTGTCAATTAGTGTGTTGGTTGTTGTGTTGTTCACAGTGCACTGCAAAATGGACAGTTCACCGATTGTGACAACCCATACCAACAACAAGAGCAAGTCCTCGCGTAAGTCCTTTGTTTCCCAAAAATAATCTCCGGCCAAAATTTTCACGAAAGAAAGAAAAAAAAAGAGAAACGCCGTACGACACGTCCGTACGGTGTATTAAAGGCATAACCGAACGCACCGACACTCGTACACTCACTCCGAGTTCTTCACGTTTATTATAGTTTAGCTTTAGTTACGCTACGCTCCGTTCTGTTCTTTCTTCACTGTCCTAGATATGCGATATGGATGAAAAGTTCGGAAAAGAGCAATAAAAGCATGCCGCAGCCCTGTGTTTCGCACGCAATTGCATCGTGTTCTTGCATCTAGTTTTTTTTAATCTTATTTTTCATTTTTCTTTCAGGCGATCGTGCCTCGCGATCGCTTTTCTTCTTACCACGATATGCGCAAAACACTTGGATGTTTCGAGACGGCTCGAATAGAAATTAAATTGATTTGAATGAAGAAGATTGGAGAAATCGACAGGAGACGAAACCGTTTAAATCGTTCGAAGCATCCGAGATGAACGGTGTAAAAAAAAAAAAATTACCGAATTTTTCGAATATATCGCAATGATCTTGAAATAATTTGGCATGCAAAAATTTGCGCATTTTGGCATGTGGATTGGCGCGAATTTTTCCTAGCGTATACATAGACACCGCCGTTCGACATTAAACAGACCAGATTCTAAGCTAGATATAAACACATACAAGTAAAAAATAATTCTTTCATTAAAGTGGGACTGAAAAAAAAAGAAGAGACATATTTTAGAATCCACCTGCGTTTGGCTTTCTTGGTTGTGTCTTGTTTTTTGGAAATTTTAAACTCGCTGACGAGAGAGAATGTGTTTCTTTTTTGCGGGATTTGACACGGTTGGCCGAGCGATAGAGCGAATGTTTGGGACGCGCGGTCTAGAGTTCTGTCAAAATTTCGCACCACCGGCCCTCGTGTTAATATAATGAACTCTGTTTTCGTGACGTTGCAGTGACCACGCCGCTGTTCACACCTGCAGTGGGGGTCGCCGCGGCGGGCGCAGGCGGCGCAGGCGGTGCAGGTGCAAGGAGTTACGTAGATCCTCACACCTACGAGGACCCGAATCAGGCGGTACGCGAATTCGCCCGAGAGATTGACGCCGGATATATCACGATAGAAGCCATCATAGGTACGATTCTATACGTTATCGTATTGTTATCACGATATCGAGCGGTTATCAAAAATAAGATAGTTTTAGTAGCTTGATTGTACACTTGACAATACAATTCTTTTCACGGCTGTAGGTGGCGGAGAGTTCGGCGACGTCTGCCGAGGAAAACTGAAATTGCCTCCCGACGGACGGACGGAAATAGACGTGGCCATAAAGACCCTGAAGCCGGGCTCCGCGGACAAGGCCCGTAACGACTTCCTGACGGAGGCGTCGATAATGGGCCAGTTCGAGCACCCCAACGTGATATTCCTGCAAGGCGTGGTGACGAAGAGCAATCCGGTGATGATCATCACCGAGTTCATGGAGAATGGCAGCCTGGACACTTTCTTGCGCGCGAACGACGGCAAGTTCCAAGTGCTCCAGCTGGTGGGCATGCTGCGCGGCATCGCCAGCGGCATGCAGTACCTCGCGGAAATGAACTACGTGCACCGCGATCTCGCCGCGAGAAACGTGTTAGTCAACGCCGCTCTGGTTTGCAAGATCGCCGATTTTGGGCTCAGTAGAGAGATCGAGAGTGCCACGGAGGGGGCTTACACGACCAGGGTGAGCGATAAATTCAAGTTGCCATAGATTCAAAATTAATGGAAGCTAATGGCGTATACGAAGCCCGTACATATTTTACAATTTCTCGCTTAATTAATCTATCGTGTTGTATGCAGGGCGGTAAAATCCCGGTACGGTGGACGGCACCGGAGGCGATAGCGTTCCGTAAATTCACAAGCGCCTCCGACGTTTGGAGCATGGGTATCGTGTGTTGGGAGGTGATGTCGTACGGCGAGAGGCCGTACTGGAACTGGTCGAATCAAGATGTGATAAAATCGATCGAGAAGGGCTACAGGCTTCCAGCGCCGATGGACTGTCCGGAGGCTATCTACCAGCTGATGCTCGATTGCTGGCAGAAAGAGCGCACCCATCGGCCGACCTTCGCCAATCTCACGCAGACTTTGGACAAGCTCATTCGAAGTCCGGACACGCTGAGAAAAATCGCTCAGAACAGGTAAAAGCGCCCACGTTCACTTGTCATTGTAATCGCCAAACGGCCGATACGTCATAGGAATGCGAAATCAAGTTTTTAAGGATATGTTAGTCGCAAAACGATATTAGGAAATTCATTTCATGAATCAAATGTCTAGCATTATCATCATTATCATGTAATTATCATCGTCCAATGGTGAAACAAAAGAGATACAACGGAATGCGTAAGATATAATCGGCACACAACGAGTGAAAATTGCTTTAAGTGCTTCGTGCGCACGTTCGCAAACAGTTATCATTGTTTCATTGACATTATCTCAATGTTCTTTTCCTTTTCATTTATCTCCCGTTGAGTCGCTCGTTCTCATCAATATCTTACAATTAATAAGAATCACGCCGCATGCTACGTGACTTATATTATCGTGTCCATAAATTAATTTCTCTCGACAGCTAATAATTATTTTTATTCATTCGCCGAAACGCTCACGCGTGGATCACGCTACATCCGTTTCACGCCACTTAGAATGGGATTTGGCATTGTGGCTCATTGATGTATGACGTCCCGCACAAGCCTACAATCGTATACACGTATATATATACATATATGATGTGCCCGTGCATATGTATGTACTTCAGAAGGAAGGCCAATGTCTCTGCATACTCGTACTCGCGCCGTCGTGACACGTCGACCTGATTGGCATTACTGGAAGCAGGCTACACGTACTGGACTGTCTTATACGCACTTGCTTTTTATGTTCGTGCTTTTTCTAATTTTTTTTAAGTATTTTTCAACAGTCTCTCGACATATCCCCTACGTAACAGTCGTCAAAATTTTCTACTTCGTCTATGCCACTTTGACGTTCATTTTCCGACACGCGCGAAAAAGGAAGAGAGCAAAATAATCAATTCGCTAAATAAAAAGATAAAACTCGAAAATTCGAGTTTTTCTCTGTCTCTCTTCCTTCTCGCAATAACATACACTTTTCGCACGACGTCTCGTCGCTATCTTGATATGCGAAGAGTCACATTTCTATACCTCGCAAACCGGATACCGCTTTATGTTTCAAAATACACTTGGCCGAGCGAGGTTTCCAGAGTTAGCTGGCGGGAAAATTAATTTATGGACGAAAGTCTACGTCATTAGTTGCGTAGAATACTTTTATCGCGTTACGGGGACTTAGTCGAGAACATGCATTATGCGACGATTTCATCAGAGCTTCCAATTGCTTTCGCCGCTTATCGTTTCTATATTCCTTGAGTCTGTGGTTCGCATTTCAGTTATTCTTTACAAGATGCAGCTATATTGAATAGGAGGCTAATTTTGTGTTGCTTTTCTCTTTGACGGATTTCGACAAAATTAAGTTTTGCTGCGACCGAGTTGAGTAGAGTAATTTATAAAATATCTACGAAAAATTCGTTTATTATAGCAAGTTGTCTAATTGTAATTTTGCGTTTCTTACGAAAGTCAAAACTTGTAACCGCAATGAAATTAGTCAAGCCTCCTCCCTCATATTCTCCGAGTATCCCATTGGCATGGACGAGACATGACGTTTTTTTTTTTTTTTTTTTTTTTATTACATTTTTCACTCGCGGAACGGGGGTTCGCGTTTTGTCTCTATGCCAATGGGGGCGTAATATTTGCATTTGGAAATCTCGTTGGTTTCTCTCCTATTCCTCTCCGTTCCGCCTCTTTTTTCCCCCCTGGGCTAATTCTTTGTGCTTTTGGTTTTGTGGTGTCCTTTGGTACCTGACTACGAACTACCGCAACTGCAACGCAACTGCGACAACTATCGTCCACGACAACAACAACAACAACAACCTACAGCGTGAGGCCGCCTGCACACAATCCGTACTATGTCACAAGCCATACGGCTGCCGCCCAGGCTGCGGCGGCGGCGGCAGCGGCAGCGGCGGCTGCGATGCCACCAGGCCCGGCCGCGAGCACGGCGAGCCCGTTCGTAGACGTAGTCGGCCATCAGGCCCATCAACAAGCCCAGTCAGCGATTGCCGTTCCAGTAATGCCACCAGGAGCCGGCCGTAGCTTACACTATCACACACACGCAGCGACACACGCACTGCCACACCAACAAGCATCGCTCACCTATCCCAACTGGGTCCCATTCTCCCATTTCGGCTGAGAATGGTTACGTTTGAATTGAGCAAGAGCACCATTATCATTATTATCATCATATCCGCCCGTCTTTCTAGCCATCAGAATTATAACGCCTGGCATTTCAACCGGACGTAATCTCAAAAGACTGCATTCTATATCGTTACGATTCGCATTTTCTTTTACGAACGCGTTAGTCGTAGAGAAATTATAGACGCTCTTTCAGCGAAATAGTAAAAAATAGTTTTAATCCAAGTCGTGTCGGACGGAATAGTAGATGTGACGAATATATAGAAAGTACGATACAACCAACAATATATTATCGGCGTGCTATAGACTGTATGTACAAGAGTAGTACCGTCGTAAAACAATCTCTTCTCCCGTCTTTTTACTACGAATTATCGGCAAATGCGAGGATGTAGCTATAGATATATATGTTAGACGATACAGAGAATTTCTCTTACGTTGAACTTAAGCAATAAACTTTACCGTACCGAGTTATATTATCGATTAAAATTGAAACGAGATATATAAATTGAGAGTTTAAGAGTGTTTCCAAATTTTATAAAGGATAAATTCAACCATCGAATAGCCATAGGTTTAAATGTGAACTTTAGAGAATAAAAGGTGATTAAACGTGGTGTGCATAAAAGCAGCTAGAGTCTTTCAGGTGTTCTCACAATTCTATATTAGTCATAGCTTTCATTGATATACGTATAAAGAAAAAAGAAGAAAAAAGATATATATGTACACACATACCCACACGCATACACACGTACGCAAATCACGCAGATACATTTACAGAGGGTGTCCCGGAAATAATGCCACTTTTTTCGGCTGCATTCTTTGGTCAATTTAGACTCGATAAGTCAAACATTTCGATAGGAAAAATATCGCCTGCAAATTGCTCAAAAGAACAGCCATAGTCTCTCATATGACACCCCGTACGTTATTTATATTAAATTGATATAAGTATTTATCGTGTAATTTATTAAAGCCATCGATTTTATCTTAGCGAAAGCTGCAAAGATTTATTAGCATATGTACAGCACGCGTGCAACCGGTTGACCATTTTAGAATAGTATTTTTATACGTAATATATATTAAATGAAAGAACAATATAATTAACGATTAACGATGTTAGGCCACATTTCCGCATCGATGGATCCATCAAGATATCATAATCATAACATTAAATTCTAAAGTATTACGACAGAATACGATAAAGTAATGACACACCATTCTAAGAAAATACGATTAATTTACGTAACTTATTGATTGCAAAATTTGCTACTTGAGCTATTTCTCTTTTTGTGCAAATAATTACATTAAAAACTTGTCGCAGCATTTGGAGGCCGGAGGTGAGGCGCTTATCCGATGACAGGAATAAAAACGAATTGCCGAAATTCTTTCGTAGTCGTGTTTAAATGTTGATCGCGCAGAATTCCTTTTTTTTTTTTCTTCACTTTTAAGATCGAGCGTAAACTGCATTTGTACAAAACTTAACATTATTCAAAGCTGTTTATGAAAGATAACGTGAAAGGTACTCGCGTATCGACGTGCGCGCGATCGATAGGAAAGAGATAAAATTCCAGAATCAAAGCCAGATAAGTTGAAACTAGCCTGCGGGTAGAAACACACACCTAGTATGACCTCCAACGCACTAACAAATGCTAACAATTGTCAGAATCAGGGAAAGGGGTGGTCCACCCTCACCCCCACCCGCCTCGTCGGAATCTTCCAACGTGCATTTGAGAAACAGGTAAAGGAAAAAAGAAAAAGAGAATCAAAAATGGCATTCCCACACACCAAATCCTCTTTTGCGGATGAGAGAGAAAAAGAAAGAAAAAAAAAAAAGAAAGAAGCGCAGAAGAACAAAGCGCAATCGTTTCTGTTTCGTCCAGTGCCCTAGATAATACAGAGTTCGCCCTTTAACATTTCGACAATTCGATTTTGCTGTGACTGTGCTTTCACGTTCTCTCTACTTCTTTGACGCGATAATGAGATATCGCGGCCACACGTAGACAGCCGTCTCTCCCTGCTTGGTAAACCTCTTAGTTTGTGTTGCACTGCTTGCCTTCATACGCACCGTAATCCATTCACGTGTACATATACCCAAACTGTAAACTATATATCACTAACACGTTACATATGATACATCCACTCTCGTCAACAGTGCTATTGTTAGCGATTAGCGTTATTATACCATTCTCATAATTGTCATCACATCGTCATTATATCGTCATTAGTATTTGTATTATTTTTATTGCCATATTTCTATTATTATTATTATTATTATTACAAAATTATTATTAATTTAATTTTTATTTTTAGCTCTAATTATCGAAAGAGAGATTGTACGTTTGCATCGGTATTGTTTCATAGCACTTGTACATAACATATTGTACAAAAAAATGCGCCAAACATACGAATTAATCGTACGTTAATTGACTATGCTTATTTTCTAAAATATATAATTTGTAATTTATAATTTATACCAAGCCGATTAATATTACACATATATAAAAAATAGGATTTAGGAGCCAACTGTACATATTTAAGTATCCATTTTTTATATAAGTTAAGAACTGTTTTATACATTTTACTCTCAGAAACTTATCAAATAAATTATATCAACCGAATAATTATTTTATATTTTTTTCGCAGATATTCTAGAATTTAGACTCATGAATTTTGATTGATTTACTCTTTTCATCTCAATCGATATGAAAATAATAATTTAGGAGTCTGCAATTTGTACATATCATATCGAAACATATTTGTATATAAGTCGTTCCTTCATGTACATAAAATTTACGTTTTACCAATAATATATGCAGTATAATCTATCTAGAAGTAAAGCGTAATTTCATCAATTTAGGAATATTGATAATGGAACGATATATCCCACATAGGATCACAAAGTATCATTACTTTGTAACCCGATATCCCATGAAATAACGAAGACATTAATAACTGCAATAACGACGAAATGTCGAACGATCTAGAATCGAACAATAATAATCTTCTTTATTTCATTCTTAGCTTCTCTGCCATTAACTTGTGACGTAGTAGCAAACGAGCAAAGCATCCAAAATATACATTTGGACTATGCGAATGTGAATGTGAATTTGGATAGCAAGAGAACGCAAATTTAAGGAATCCCGAAATCTCGTGTACCCTTCTTCGTGTATTCTTCCCCGCTATGAACGTTATTCATTCGTACGAAGAAACATTTCTTAACTTGTTGTTTTTAACACAGGGGCACAAATCCACTGGCGCCAGACGCGGTGGACCTAACGCAATTGAATTCCGTCAGTGAATGGCTGGCCTCCATCAAGATGTCACGATACGCGGAGAGCTTCGAGCGGGCGGGCGTGACGACGCTGGAGGCGGCGGCGCGCGTCACCGTCCAGGAGCTCACGGCCCTCGGCATAACGCTCGTGGGACATCAGAAGAAGATCATGAACAGCGTGACGGCGTTACGGGCGCAGATGTCCGCCACCTCGCAGGGTTTCCTCGTGTAACCGCGACCTCAAATCCCGCGAACGGATCGTACGTAGAAAATCGGCGGTTGATCGGCACGGAACATCGCTACCCCCTATGGATCTCACGAATTCCCGCTTACTCGAGGCGCCCCGACGCGTCGCCTCCGCAAGGGGAGGGAGACAACGACCTCTTCCCCCCCTTATGTATCATCTAGGACTCGTGATTACCTAGTCAGAGCGACGATGTCCTCGAGCGAGTATCTCTTTTCGCGCGCGCGAACAGTTCCGATGAACTGGTGGTAGTACTCGAGCAAAGCTTTCACCGATACCTCCGAAGCGATATGCGAACGCTGTATCTCACTTTAACCGAGAGATTCAAAAGTATTCGTGCTGCAGACATTCCACGTTAGCGAGAGGATTTAGTCGAATGGAAATCCACTCTTCGCATTTACGACTCTCCCCTCGTAGAAACGAGAGGGAATACCACGAGGACCACTCATTCGCCATCTCGCATGTAAAGTGCAACGACTTTTACTGAACTCGTAGGACGAATTACATCTGTTGCGAAAACTTCCGCGATCTATAAGTGTCAAAGAAAATTGCCGTGACGCCTTACGGATCATTTCACGAGGCTTGTTTCAGGACGTCCTGAAAGATCACTATGGAAAGGGGTCTTAACGGGATCAATATAACATACTCTCCTACACGAACAACGAGCGCCAATACTCTTTCGTTTTCTAGGCCGTTTCCGTGACCGATCTATCCAGGTCAGACTGACAACGGAAATAAACGAGCCATCCTTGTAATCATCACTGCCGCGAAATCTTTCGTCACTAATAAATGCTCTCCTTTTAATTTAAAGTTGTATAACAACTGTTGAATTGTATACACTGTATATTTTTTTCTTCGGAGGCTTTTATTGAGATTTACAACCGAATTTTTTTTTTTACTATTCTATTACACGCGCTTGTTAGGTTTTGTAATATTTTGTACTGAACGACAGCTCATTTTAGTACGTACGTATTCTGCGATATAAACACTGAACGGCGAACATATCGGCCTAAATGTCGTTCGAATATGTCTGTTCCTGGCCTCTTTTCTTAAGTATATGTAAAGTTACGTGTCTGTCTGTAACGATCGATATAAGCAATACGCATCTGACAAGGAAAAAAATAACAATTAGAAAAATAGAGGACATCACGAGGGAGTACTGTACCAAAAATCGGATTGTAATAATTTCCGAGATTCCGAGATCGGAAGCGTGACACAGCAGTGTAGGTTCATTATTTCGTGTAGCAAATGTAGCAAGTGCATATTACGCGTATGTCGGCAATTGTACACGGATCGAGAGCAAGGGCGAGCGTTTAGCGAGATTCGTCATTATTAACTCTTTACGCTAAATTACGATTCATGCCTTCGCGTTACCTATATGAGGACGTCGTACACGCGGCCTATATACATATAGGTGTACCCTTTCGATTATAAACGATAAATGATGAAACGAATGAAGCGGACATGTGCCAACGCGAGTGTGCAGGAGTTATTTTAGCGCGAGGCTGCGTGGACACGGGACAAACGAGCGGGAAACGAGAGGACGCGTGAATGTGAGTGAGAATGAAATTGCGAATCGGTGAGTGACGAGAATCTGCCGCGACCCATTTTTCGCGCTATATTCATATGTACACGAGCGTGCGATCACGAAATCATTCTATATATACATACATATATATATATATAAAGATAGATAATGTGTTATAAATACGACATTGTGAAAAGGGAGTAAACGAGCGGGAGTAAAACTCTCTATCGATAGGAAAAAGCACAAGGGACATTCGTTCGCGCCCGGAGAACAAAGGAACGCGACGCGACGCGAGGGAAAACGCGGTTTCGAGTACGTCCCTCATTAGCAAGCAATGCGTTAACATATCAACATTATCGCGAAATGCAATGCGAGCGCGAGAAGGGACGTCCTCGCGTGCGTCGTTACTCGAGATCGAGTCTCGATTCTGTTCTCGGATAGCATAGCGAGTGACAAAAGAGAAAAGGCTAGCCGGAAAAAGAGAACAACGCAAAGAGAAACGAACGTGAAGTCGGAGGGTGTAAGATACGCGGACAAAAAAATACTCACGTATACGCGAGCGACGATGCGTGCGATTAATACGAGGCACGCGTCGTCCACGGGGTAACTCTTTTTTTTTTCTATTTTATTTTCACAGTCCGACCGAGGGAATTTCCTCGCGAAGCAACGTCCATTCCAATATACATGTAATCTGTAATAGAAAACCATTTCCTTTCCTTAGAAAGAGAGATAGAACGGACGAGAGGCTTGCTTCGCCGTGTTTCGCCACATCCGCATTCGCTAAATAATTTGCTAAATAAAGACTGCATCCCGGGCCGCGATACGTTACACCCGGGATACACCCACGTTACCGGCGACTTGTCTTAAAAGAGACCAACGGAGCGGCAGACATATGCGTACGAAAATATTGCGCGTGAGATTAAAAACGGCTTCCACGTGAGTCCAGCGAGTCACGAAGAAATTCTTTTATTTTCTAATTTAACGGTTTAACGCTAGAGTAATATAGTCGACGATGTGTATATCGAGGCGACGATGGATCGCGACACGGACAAAGGTGGAAAGGCGTGCTTTCGGAGGTGAGATTTCTTGCGCTCGATAAGATACAAGACAACGACGAAAGCGAACGTCTTTCGCAAACCCCCAGCCAATTCTCGCTCTCGATTTAATCAAAGAAAGAGGCGAAAGTCGCGCCTGCAAAGCGATTAAAATCAATCAGTCCCGCTTCTGTCTCGGCGCGATCCAACGGTGGCTCCCCTCGTGAAACGAAATGTTGCTCGAAGTCATACTCCGAGCGGGGAATGTCGGGATACGCTCCGGTGTCTTTCGACCCGCCGTACTTCCTTCCAGCGTACGTATCGACAAAAAATAACGGAAGGGAAAAGCGACAAGCGTCGCGGAAGGTCGCGCGGCGAGGGCAAAATCTCCCTTAGGAAAAACAAAGAGAGGAAAAGAGAGAGAGAGAAGGCTACTGAAAAACGGCGACGATTAAGAAGCAATAAGTGAATACACGCAAATGCAGATTTTTATATAGAGAATGTTAACAAATTTCAGAAAATATTAATTATCGATAGCGCTATCTTCCTAAATGTTCGTATTAAAGATTAAACGGGGAAAAGGTACGATAAGGGCGAGATCTCGCGCGGGACCTCGGCCGAAAGGGAGGCGGAAGAGAAGGAGAATTGCGCGCGCGAGGCGAATTCGCGCCGCGATCTCGATTGTAATTCGGTGATAATTCGGCCGGGATCCCGCGGACGGAGGAAAAAAAAAAGGTCTTAAGAACTTTTTCAAACTGTAACTGTCTGTGTTTTAGCGACGAGTCTGCGAGTGCGACCTGAAGTTTTACGGATGCCGTTGATTTCGAATATTTAGATTTCATAGAGCTGTATCAATGTCACACAGAAACACACACACGGCCACTGTGTTAAGTACAGGGGGAAAGAGAAATACGCGAAACTGAGAATGTATTAGTTGAAAGCTTAGGTACATCGTATAAGACTTCTCCGATTTTTCTTTCGTTTCCCCGACTCCTCCGCGGAAATCTTAAATCCGATTCTAAAATTTTTCTTTTATTTTAAAAAAGAACACCTTACGCGTTGCACTTAAAGTGTTTATACTTTACGTTATACAGTTGTTTTCCTGATAAAAATAATTCTATGCACATAATCAAATATAAATATAACTTTACTTTCTATTAAAGAAACAATGCCAAAATTATTCTTTTAATTATTTTTCGATTCGTATTATTTTTCCTGTTTATATATAATCATATAAATATAGAAATATATTTATATTAATTACATATAGACTTCTTTTTATTGGGGATTGTATATGCGTTAAACTTTATTCAGAGAGATCGGAGGAGAAAAAAATGGCAGGAAAAAATCTGAGAAATCAAAATTGCTTCAGTTCACCCGAAAATCTCCGTTGCAATGAATTTTTGTTCTGTTTAGCGCTTTTTTCAATTTGCCGGCAGCAAGAGAGAGAGAGAGAGAGAGAGAGAGAAAGCTAGAACGACAAGCGAGAAAAAAAATCGTCTCTCTCGCGTTGATCGCTTAATCCTGTGTAATCGATTTTAATTCTACTACTATTTATTAAAAGAAGAAGAACTTATTTATTTCTTAGAGATCTGACTAAATTGCAAAACGTTCTAATTATTGTAAGTTATCTATTTACTATTTAGTGGCGAGACTATGTAGGGCAGAGCGACGTATTCTTCCCCTATTTTCCGGAGTTTCCGAGTGAACTCTGTAATTCTTGTATAAAGAGAAACGAAGCTGCAGCTACAGTGATAATTGAACGTCGTATCGAATTTGTACGCAACTGATTATATTACATTATGTTTAGTTAAGTGTTAATTAAATAACTTACGAGCGCGCATTGTTTTTTTTTTTTATATTCTTTCCACGACTCTCTTTACAGCGAAAACTCTGTCAAAGTACCTGCTTCGAAAAAAACGAAAATCTGTGAGGAAAAGCAAAGCATTAACAGGTACCGTCCCATATATTATACATAATTCACAGAAAGAGAGAAAAAGACAGACACACATACACGCGTCGTGTAATCATTTCATACACACACACACACACAACACACACACACACACACACACACACGCGTACGATAATTTATATACACTCGCCGAGCTGAGTTTTCATAAGAAAAAAATTGGTTAAGCGAATCACCTCCGTGTGTCTTCGATTCATTGTATAAAGAAAACAAAAATGCAAGGAAGGGGGGGGGAGATGCGTGAGCAAGGAATTATACTGTCGACAAATTTTGGAACGTGTCTAAAAACAATTTTTCCTATGGTGTTGTCAAGACGATGTTGAATGTACATAAGATATAATAAATAATATACCTTATACGATGTAAACAGCGATCTTCTTTATTTTTTATCCTAGCTTTATCCTCGCGTCTTTTTAACATGCTATTATATATAATTATATATCGTTAACATGACAATAAAATAGAAGATTTCAGTAAACGTAACATCAATAGAAATAGCGGAGAAATATTCAACTTGGATGACATGTTTTTTTTTTAGAAAGGATTCCTTCATTTAATTATCAGCTTGAATAATTGACCATGAATGCATATTCGAAACAATTAGAGGCATACAAGAAAAAAGTTAAAATTAAAATAAAAATTCAGCACTCATCGTTTCGCGACGTGTACCTCGACAATCACCGATGCATCTTCCGCTACAATTTCATCTGCAACAATACTCAGAAATGGTCCAGTAGCATCCCTATGTTATCCTACATAAAATCCATTAATAAATGTGTTTATAATTAAACCATGAAATTTATCTAAACTATACTTTCTTAATTTACAAATAAAATTTAATTAAACAAAAACGAATTTGTAAAAATTTTTCATCATCCGCACCGATTTTAATCAGTAGGCTCATTTGCGTTGCATAAACATATATTTCATTATTTATTATATTATTACGCTAATTTATTTTTAAATATAATTAAAAAATGCGCTAGAAATATATAATTTAATACAACGCATATGAAATAATACAACAAAAAAGACTATGTAATATAATATAAAATTATAGAAAATTAAGACATATAAAATTACTATATTGCATAAACAATATTATTTATGTAAGCTATTATATTTAACCGATTATACTAACAATTTGCAAGTCATTGACTAAACTTGGAATTTTTCTAAGCAAACTATTCAATTTAAAATATAAATAAAATTTTGATTGGACTAAAACGAATTAGCCCGTAAATGCTCTTCACCACTCCCATCAATTATAACCAGCAGTCCATTCTTATCCCAGGCAACAAGCTAATGTCGTCAATATGATGACAAATAACATTAGTTTGCTACCTAGATGGCATGTATTCTTTTATATATATATTTATATTTTATTTTTTATGTAATGTCTTTTCATATCAAATGTATAAAAAAATTTCAATATACAAAGTACAAAGTAACCAGAGAGATTGAAAATACTTAAACATTTTTTAATTATATATTTTTAATTTAAAATTTTATATAAGATTTAATTGGGCTAAAACGAATTAGTCCGAAAAGACCCTCCACCACCCCCGCTGATTATGAGCAGCGGTCCTCTTTTGTTCCAAGTAACAAGCTAATACTAATATGATGACAAATATATGATGTTAGTTTGTTACTTGGGTGGTATGTATTTTTTTAAGGTTACATACATTTATATTTTATATCTTATATATAATATATTTTGATATCAAAATGTACAACATAAAAGTTTCAATACATACATATATAAGAAGTATATAATCATAACATCATAACGTCCGAGATCGAGTATACTCGATAAGTTTCCCAATTATATATTTTTAATTTGAAATTTTATATAAAATTTAACTGGGCTGAAACGAATTAGCCAGTAAATTATAAGGCCCTCCACTGCGCGTACTTCGATCTAACATGCATATGTCATTTTTTAAACATAATGACTGCACCATCACCAATCTAGTATATCTATATCTATGTATTAGCACTACCAAATATTAAAGTTACCAATTACTACACTACAAAAACATGCACATGTACCGCGGTGATCGCGGCCAATAAAGAATATCGCGACCACTGCGCGTACTTCGATCTAACATGCATATGTTATTTTTTAAACATAATGAATACACCATCACCAATCTAGTATATCTATATCTATGTATTAGCACTACCAAATATTAAAGTTACCAATTACTACACTATAAAAACATGCACATGTACCGCGGTGATCGCGGCCAACAAAGAATATCGCGACCACGGCGCGTACTTCGATCTAACATGCATATGTTATTTTTTAAACATAATGAATACACCATCACCAATCTAGTATATCTATATCTATGTATTAGCA